CTTGAGCCACAGGCGCCGAGCCAATACTTGCCTACTTTTAGAGGCAGGTCTACTCTGACTCAAGCTGGTCTTGAAGCTGTGAGCTCAGGCAATCCAACTACCTGGGTCTAGTAAGGATTCAAAAGCAATGATTATCACATAAGAATGCATAATTATTGTTAAGTATTGCTAAATATGGATTCTGGATTTTTTGAGACAGAATCTCACTTGTCACCCTCAGTAGAGTATCATGGTGTCACAGTTCACAGCAGCCTCAAACTCTTGGGCTCAAGTGATTCTCTTGCCTCAGCCTCCTGAATAGCTGAGACTACAGGTGCCCACCACAACACCTGGCTATTTTTGGAGATGGGGTCTCGCTCTGGCTCAGGGTGGTCTCCAACTCCTGAGCTCAGGCAATCCACCTGCCTCAGCCTCCCAGAGTGCTGGGATTACAGGTTTGAGCCACTGTGCCCAGACTGAATGAGCCACTAAGACTTTGAGATATTTATTATGTCGCCCTCGGTAGAGTACCATGGTGTCACAATTCACAACCTCAAACTCTTGGGCTTAAGCTATTCACTTGCCTCAGCCTCCCAAGTAGCTGGGACTAAAGGCGCCTGCCAATGCCCAGCTATTTTGTTGTTGTAGTTATCATTGTTGTTTAGTAGGCCCAGGCTGGGTTCAAACTCACAAGCCTCAGTGCCCTAACCACTGAGCATGGGCACCCAGCCAAGACTTTCTGATAAAATTGTATGTGGAGTGTGAAAAAAGGACATGAATTAAGGATGTATCCAAAGCTTTTGGTCCGTGCAAGTGGTAAAAAACAATTTGCTATGACATGAGGTTTTGGACTCATGGATAGACTCGTTGATGTGAAGCAGGGAAATGGGGTGGGGGTGACATCACTCTATTTATACCTGACTTAGGAAAAAGAACACAGGATTTGGATATTAAAAAATCAAAATGGTTAGCCAGGAGTTGTGGCAGGCGCCTGTAGTCCCAGCTACTCAGGAGACTGAGGCAAGAGAATTGCTTGACCCTAAGAGTTTGAGGTTGCTGTCAAGCCATGGCACGCTACCAAGGGTGACAAAGTGAGACTCTGTCTCCAAAAAATAAATAAATAAAAATGGCACTGTAAACTATGAAGTACTATGTAAGTCCCAGTTGTTTCTATTCTATTAAAGGTGTGCTACACTGACTGGGGTGTGAGGCTCAGTCTGCTGGAGGCAAAGGGATATAAACCAAACCCAATAAAGTTCTGTTTGCTTCAGTCTGTTTTCATTCAGGACCATTAGTCCAACTCCCAGCTGAGATCTCTAATGTTTTTTCCAGCTATAAGATTTTATGAATCGGCTCGGCACCTGTGGCTCAAGTGGCTAAGGCGCCAGCCACATACACCTAAAGTGGTAGGTTCGAATCTAGCCCGGGCCCGCCAAACGACGACAAGCTGCAACCAAAAAATAGCCGGGTGCTGTGGCGGGCACCTGTGATCCCAGCTACTTGGGAGGCAGAGGCAGGAGACTCGCTTGAGCCCAGGAGTTGGAGGTTGCTGTGAGCTGTGATGTCACATCACTCTACCCAGGGGGACAGCTTGAGGTTCTGTCTCAAAAAAAAAAAAAAAAAAAAAAAAAAAGACACCAGCCATTCTATTTGGAAAACTTCATTCTGATGACATAGGCCTCATAGGCTAAGTCCACTAACATACTAACCTGGTATTGGATGGAAATTGTTGCTCCCCAACATTGGAGCTAGTTGCTATTTAAAACAAAAAAACCTGTGCTAACTAGATAAAAAGACCAAAACAAACTTAAAGTGTTGTGAAAGGCCAGGCACGGTGGCTCATGCCTATCTTTAATCCTAGCACTCTGGGAGGCCAAGGTGGGAGGATCCCTCGAGCTCAGTTCAAGACAAGGCTAAGCAAGAGGAAGACCCAGTCTCTACTAAAAAAAACCCAGGAAAATAGAATGTTAAGAAGTCTCCCAGAGATGTGCAAAACATACTCCAGCTGTGTGAGATGGCTGACCAATTAGTATCTAGGAAAAGCACAGCATTTGTGGTAAAAACCAACATCAAGTTTTTTTGTTTTCCACATTTGCTTCAGTTCCTCAGCTAAAATTCATTGTTTTTACAAACCCAGAAAGAAGCAAAGTGCAGCAAAGAGCATACAGAGCAGTGTAGCAGCAAGAGCCCACCAGCATTCAGGGACCCTGGGCCCAGGTTGTTGGCTCCTGCCCTCTGGCCTTTCTCCTGCTTCTCAAGTATACCATATCACTTCTGACCTAGTTTCTCTACCTGGATGAGCTCCACTCTGTTGCCAAGAAAGAATAATGCTTAAGCTTAAGATATTTGGCAAGCCCACTTTCTCTGCACTCCTCATTCCTGATTTGGCTGAACCAAGTTCCTGCAAAAATTCCCTTTGTCTTGATTAGGCAGGGGTCCCATGACCAACCCTAGGTTTGACTCTCAGGCCCCAGCCACTCATGCTTTGGAGTTTGCAATGCATAAGGCAGAAAAGCTCTGTGGGACTAGATCTAGAATTAAGAGACCCCTGGGCCTATCTTTAGCTGATTAATTTGGACATTGCTGTTCTATGGCAAAACTAAGTACTTTCCAGCTCCAGATTCCAAGCCAGTGCCTCCGCAGGCTGACAACCCATTTATAGAGTACAGACCTGAGCACCAGGGATAACCATGTCACGTGCCCACATAAATATGCATAATGACTTTCCCATGTTTATCAGGTCTCAGAGAAAAGACGTTCAAAACATAACTGATTTTCTCCCTTAAACCTGTGATAGTGTATCCTTCAGCTTTAGCTCAATCTTGATCTGTAAGTTAAATACAGTGTTAAAGGGACATCTATCTCAAGGGGAGCAACCCTTAACCCAGAGAAACTTAGCTTACCATGGGGGATTTGGCAATTTCTAGAGCAATTTTTTTTTGTGTGTGACAGAGTCTCACATTGTCATCCTGGGTAGAGTGCTGTACTATCGCAGATCACAGCAACCTCAAACTCTTGGGCTTAAGCTATTCTCTTGCCTCAGCCTCCTGAGTAGCTGGGACTACAGGCCCCCGCCACAACACCTGTGGTTGTCATTGCTATTAAGCAGGCCAAGCTGGGATCGAACCCCCCAGCCCTGGTGTATGTGACTAGCGCCCTAGCTGTGGAGCTACAGGCGCCAAGCCAGTAATTTATAGTCTTAAGGAAACTAATGGACTTTGCATTGAGGAAGAGGTCTAAGAGAACATGGACACCTCTTCCTGAGACTGGTAGGCAGAAGACACGACCCTAACACATTTGGGGAAGCAGAAACAAATTAATTTTCTATGTTTCTGTTTTGCCAAGTCCTCTGGAACAGCGTCGAAGACTGCAGTGGCAGCTGGAGAATGAGAGTAATAAGTCCAAGGGAGTTGTTGAAGACTGCAGTGGCAGCTGGAGAACGAGAGTAATAAGTCCAAGGGAGTTACATTGCTTTGCAACATCAATAGCTCATACAGTTGCCTGCAGCCAGAGGTTTTTACCTGCATTTGGCAGGCTGGGCAAAAGAGCAAGAAAAACAGATGAGCTATGCTCAGTGCCTGTAGCAGTGGTTACAGCGTCAGCCACAGACAGAGGCTAGCAGGTTTGAACCTGGCCTGGGCCAGGTAAACAATGACAACTGCAACAAAAAAATAGCTGGGCGTTGTGGTAAGCACCTATATAGTCCTAGATACTTCAGAGGCTGAGGCAAGAGAATGGCTTAAGCCCAAGAGTTTGAGGTTGCTGTGAGCTGTGACACCATATCACTCTACTGAGGGTGACATAGTGAGACTGTCTCAAAAAAAAAAAAAAAAAAAAAAAAGGTCTGGTGTGGGGGCCGGGTGCTGTGGTTCTTACCTGTAATCCTAACACTCTGGGAGACTGAGGTGGGTGGATTGCTTGACCTCACAAGTTTGAGACCAGCCTGAATAAAACCCCATCTCTAAAAATAGCCAGGCATTGTGGCAGGTGCCTGTAGTCCCAGCTACTTGGGAGGCTGAAGCAAGAGACTCGCTTAAGCCCAAGAGTTAAGGTTGATTGTGAGCTGTGGCACCATGGCACTCTATCAAGGGTGACAAAGTGAGACTGTCAAATAGTCTAGTGTGTTCTCATCTCCCACCACTGCCTAAGAGCAGCCCATAAAAAGACCCAGGAAGACTTGGATCATAGGTTGGCTAAGCATATCTAAGACTTCAATCATTTGTCATGTTATATAAAGTGAAACTGGTAGAAAACTGTATTTTGAAAAATAACCCCAAAAAACCAAGAGTCAATGAATCATGCTGTATTATCTTTAATTAAACACATAGACCTATCCTTAATTAATCAAAGACCTGTTTAAACATGTCACCAGGTGTAGAGACCATTCACCCACTGCTCTGTTTGGCTGCCAGTCTCTTGTCCCTTTCTTCAGCAATGGTGAGGCGGATACCTTTTCCTCGGGGAAGAGAAATCCATGGTTTGTTACCCTGGAGGAGAAAACGAGAATCAAAACCTTCTACACACCAACTCTGTTAGTAGCTTGGCACATGATACACTTGTTATCTCATTTATCTGAACTGAAGCCTTTGTGACAAGTACTTACCATTAGCGAGGCAATCATTTAAGATACTCAGATGTAAGTTTAACAGAAGTATCCACTACTTGGGTTGCCGAGACCATGCTATGAAACTTGGTGTACACCCTTAATTACTATTTTAGAAGCTTGTTATCCATAATGGGCACTCAATATTTATTGAGGTGTGTCAAAGTTAAGTAGCACCTAAAGCTAACCATTAATTAATTCCTAAGAAAATACAACCACAGGCTCGGCGCCTGTGGCTCAAGTGGCTAAGGCGCCAGCCACATACACCTAAGGTGGTGGGTTTGAACCCAGACAGGGCCCGCCAAACAACAATGATGGCTGCAACCAAAAAAATAGTTGGGCGTTATGGCAGGCGCCTGTGGTCCCAGCTACTTGGGAGGCGGAGGCAGGAGACTCGTTTGAGCCCAGGA